GGTCACAGGCGATGGGATTGTCTAGCTTAGAAAAAGGGATGGTGAGGGACATATTAGAAGCATACAGAATCATGCATGCTGTGCAGAAAGTGGACAGGGAGAGAGTTTTCCTCTTCTTTATAGAACTATTTATTTATTTAAAGTTTTTCTATGCCGTCCCCATTGCTGCACAGCCTCGGGATGACTCACAGCAACAAATAAATAAAACAAACAGAATTACAGCTAGAATGCAGGGTCATCCCAGGAAGCTGAGTGATGGCAGATTCGGACAGATGAAGAACACCTTTACGAGCTGCAGAACTAAGTCTTGTCATTGCTTTCATAGGATGTAACAGTGGCCACTAGTTCGGATGGATTTAAGAGGAGGTTGGACAAAGAAAGCTATCATGAGCCACTAGTCTTGATGGCTATGTGATACTTCCATTATCAGAGGCGGCATACCTATGTACACCAGGTGGTGGGGAACATGTTGCGCTCCTGTCCCGCTTGTGCATTTTCCATGGGCAGCTGGAGGGAATGCTGGATTAGATTAACACTTGGTCTAAATCAACATGCGTCCTTTTAAGTTCTTACAACCGTGGGAGTCTCTTTTATGGCTTTTGTAAAAGTGTACACACAGTATATTTGTGTACACACAGTAAATATACAGAGTATATTTACTTACTTTGTTCACACCACTGCTTTATAACATACTTCCTCTGAGTGACTCAGATATGATATAATGACAGAGTATAACAAAATAAAAACAAAATAAAAAAATTAAAACACAGATTTCAAAACAGAGGTGCCTGGATTTTGAGACATGAGTTGTTTGAAATGCTTGTGTGAACCACAAGGATTTACCTAGCACCGAAAAGATCACAAAGGTATTTTCCACATGCATCTCTCTGGGAAGGTTGATCTAGCAGTGTGGTGACATGGCAGAGTTATTAATGTGTCAGTCTCATGGCTCTTCCATTCCTGCGCAAGCAGCAGATGCATCTTGACTCCAGTGTATGCAGAACATCATGCATGCACATGGACCCCAAATGCCTGTGCACTGCTTCTTTTCCATTCCCACCACCTACAACCACCACCTCTACCACCTACACTCCGGATACTAAGAATTGTGAAATGTGTTTGCATTGGAACTTCTCTGTAACAGGAAGAATCAGATCCATTGCCGGATCAGGAGGGCAGACCATAACTTAGTAACAAAGCACATCTTTTGCATCCAGATGGTTCCATTTGTAGTCCCTAGTTTAGCATCATGGAGTTGGAAGGGACCTTAATGGGTGCAGAATCTACAGCAGGTCATTGTCCAGCATCTGCTTGAATGCTTCCAACTTGGGGGAGACCAACACCTCCCCAGGCCGACTTTTCCGTGATCAAACTGTTCTGCTTGGTCCCTTGGACACCTGTTGCTGAGGAGAACAGCTGGGACAACTGGACAGTTAATCTGCCCTAGTATAAGGCAAGGTCCTCTGAGCCTCGTTCTGTCAGACATTTGCATTTCCAAGGAACTAATATGTTCAATTTATCAACATGCCCTTTTACAGGAGCCAATGCCAGACATGCTGGTGCAGACATAAAGAAAGGGCATAAAGAAGCAAAAGCTTTCAGCACAGGTGCAGTAGCAATGGATGGATGGAGATGTTCTGATGTGAAAATCACGGTGGTACAAGTACCTAAAGGCATTCCTGTGACAGTTCATGCGATGTAAAGTAGGAATGGAGAATGCATTGCCCTCCAGCATTGCATGTGGTTGATGGAAGGCACAAGCTGACAATACTTGGTATGCCACACCTCTCCCTTGCCTTGTTATGGGGCATGCTTACATATGTATGTTGGTTGTTGTTCCATCTCAATCCTTCTGCTTCATCCTTCACTCATTAACAGGATTTGCCGCCTGCATTACGAACCGATACATTTCTTGACATAAGCCAATTAGATGGAGTGTCGTTAAACAATGACGAATCCGGCAGGAGGATTTGCTTCTGTTTAATCTGACTTCTGTTTTTCATAGTCTACAAATTGAAAAGTTTTATGATATGTCTACTTCTCAAATTGGGATAACAAGAAGGTTGGAAGAAGCTTATATATTAGTGATACTCCTTTAGCATAGTAAGGAGGAGACTTTTTAAAAGGCATAGATAAATAAGAGGAGATTTCTTAAAGTTGTTACATAGCCAAATAAGCTGTACTTCCAATCTGTACTTTTATAGGATTATGTTATCAACCATATATTCTTCAGTACAAATTGATATGCATGCTAATTTAGTTTTGTGCACAAAATTTTTCCTCGTGGTTTTCTGTTTGTTTCTTAAACAATCATATAACAAACCATGAGCCAATGTGGCTGTCCGTAGCCCTCCAAAGTTCAAGAATTTCAGGTATCTCATTGACAGCAGAAGAAGCATGGGGGTGAAGGTGAAGGGGGCAAATGCTTCTCTCGTGCTGCAAAAGATTTGGGTGGGTGGTAACTACATCTTTTGCCTCGAGGATACTACATATCATGGCAGAGACTTTCTCCTTCTTATTTATTTATTTATTTATTTATTTATCGATTTATATCCTGCCTTTTTCCTACAAAGGGCTCAAGGCAGCTTACATCATTCTCCTCCTCCATCTTATCCCCACAACAACAACCCTGTGAGGTAGGTTGGGCTGAGAGTCTGTGACTGGCCCAAAGTCACCCAGTTGGCTCCATGGCTGAGCGGGGACTAGAATCCAGGTCGTCTGAGTCCCAGTCCCATGCTCTTAACCACTACGCCACACTGGCTCTTCCCCACCCAGAATGGCCACAATTCTCCAGTTCTGAGGTAGGTCTTCTGATGTTAGAGCCTCAGATGGCACATTAGGGTGGTGAAAGGATGCTCCAAGGTTGAAGCATCAGCTGTGACCTCAGAGCCCAGAGTCTGACCTCTCCTATGGCTGTTTGGAGTCTGTCTGGTGGCCATAGGATTGCACCCCAAAAGAGCTACAGCTGTGCACAAACAGTCTCTTAACATTCTCCAGCTTACATTAGTGGAATAAAACTACAGCATTGTCTCACAGGTAGTGCTCACCGTCGACAGAGGTTAAAGCACACCTTCTTTTCTTTTCCTGAAGGGCTTTTGTTTTTCTTTGCCATTGAAAGTAACATGCACTGAAAGCGACTGAATTGGCAGCTTGACACCAGTTTGCATCTCCCACAATACGCCACCAGTGTGAAAATACACAACTTTTAAAATTCACAATTTAAAGTGTGCATGTTTAAAAGCGAACACTTACCCCCATTAAAGCATGAAGTTGTGATTATGTAAAAATGTTCACTTTATAAAAAGAAACACACACTTTAAGATGCACACATTTTGTGGATATGAAACACTAGTTCAGGAATTTTCAAATGCTTTTTGAAGAAAATGCAGTCCCATTTGAGGTTGCCAACAAGGTATTTTCAAGGTTTTCACATGGAAACAGACTCCCTGGGCATTCCTAATCCAGATCCAGTAAATTTACTCTCCACATAAGAGTAAATGTGTTTGCTCTTTTCTGAGAAGTTTTTTCCCCAATTAAAGGGAGTTTGATTCTTTTGTGTTGTTGCTAGGGCATTTTGTCATTTATCTTGTACTTGAACTTTTCTAATCATTATGAGCTGGCTGAGGTTGCTGTGTGTTTATTCTTCCTATTATGTATCTTTCCATTTTTCTGTAGCCACTTAGGTTGCCTGCACTTTCTGATTTGGAAAAAAAGCCTTATGGGAGGAATTACTTCATCTCTTGAGCCTTAATTGAGCTGTGGGAAGCTGCAGGGACTGGAGAAATGAATTAACAGTGAAAGGCAGGTCAAACATGCATCATTCTTGGCTATCTCAGAAGTAAAGCAAGTTCAAGAATGCCAAACTCAACCCATAAGATTTCTCTGATTATTTTCTCTTTAGAAAAGAAATTCAATGCATTGAATGGGGAAGTTAGAAAAGATTTGCACACGGCACTGAAAAATTTCTGCACTTGCTAAGTTAAAATTCACTGTTATGTGCCATCAAGTCTTATGAATGACCCTATGAATGAAAGGTCTCCAAAACGTTCTTTCCATGACAGCCCTTCTCAGCTCTTGTAAATTCAAGGCTATGGCTTCTTTAAAAGTCAATCCATTTCTTAAGTGGTCTTCCTTTTCTTCTGCCTTTGACTTCCCCTAGCATGATGGTCTTCAAGGAATAGGCAAATGTATCTAAAGAATGACAGCTTCAGCTTTCTCAGTGAGATACCCTTACACTTGACGATCTCTTCTAGTTCCTTCATAGAAACTCTTAAGTATTGAAGCACAGTCTCAGCTGATTGGATTAGGGGATCTTGGCCAAGGTGACCCTTAACTGGGACCTCGGACCTGCAATGTAGGACCTGCGGCTGTTGCAGAACTGTCCCCCTGTGTGCCAGGATCCCTCTACATTGCCATGTTAGCTTGACAGTGTAGGGAAGCATCCCACCACCTAGTAACCTCCAGATGTATTGGAATACAGCTCTCAGAATCCTCCAGCCAGCTATGCGGCTTGACTCATCAGGAGAGCACCTTATTAGGGAAGACTGGTGTAGGCTAGGAGTCCTGAGACGATTGATACCAAGGGGCAGACCTGCCCCTTAAAAGCTTCCCATGCCTTAAGGAAGGGATGGAGCCTGGCAAAAGATGCAGCAGTGTTCTTTTTACTGGATCCTATGTGTAGAACTGAATGGTAACCGTATTCTTCTCAATGGGAGGTAGCAAATGGGGTGAATAAGGTGTGACGGCTGTTCTAATTCTTCTGAAAGTCAAATTGTGCCTCACCTCTGAACTCTGCTTCAGACTGCAGCATTTATTCTGCTCCACAGAATTGCAACTAAACTAACTTGGATAGCGCTGTCATTTCATCTGCATATCTTAAGTTCTTGCTCCTGGTTCGTGGTGTGATGCTTGCATAGAGGAATATTGCAAACTGTCTAAGTTGAGCATTCCTCACCCTTCCTTATGCGCCAAGCTCATTTCAGTTCCCTCTTCCTCCTCAGCTATCCACTGCAGTCTAAATCCAAATGGTATTGATCTCTCTGTCCACACGGAAGGAATTAACCTGCAACTTGAAGGCGAGAGAGTGGAATCGTCCTCGCTTAAGAAAGAAAACTCCTCTAAGTTGCCTGAATCAAAAGGGACACCTAAGAGACAACAAGCAGAACCTGAAACATCTAAGGTAGGCCTGATAACCAGATTGTTTTTTCTGTTCTGGAAGAGGAGGTTCACATGTTTGTACATGGAAGGCTCCTGTTCAGTGCATAGAATGATCTTGTAAAGCAGAGCCATTCAGGACAAGGTGTTAAAGTTGCAAGCTGATTAGAGAGACCATTTCTCAATGGCAGATCATGTGCATGGCATGCAGAAACCTCAGGTTTGATCCCAAGCACCTCCAACTAAACTGATCACATAGCTGGTGATGAGGAGAGTCACTACACAACCAGGCAGGCAGCGCGAGCTCAATGGAGAAGTAGCCTGTTCTGATAGAAGGCATCTTGCTATATTCCTGGTATCAGCTCAGCTTTTCATTTCCATGTTTCTTTCCTCCCCTCTTCTCCTCCAGTTGATGTTTGGCCTTGGATATGCAGATAATTTAAACCCCAGGAAAATGGAACATGGGACAAGGAAGCACAAGTGACTGCCTTGAACCTAGAGTGATATTATTAGTAGTTTGTGCAGTACATAACCAGTCACAATACAAGCTAGTAAGCGACACATGAGCCATCAGTGGCCTAAATCTAGTGCCTTTTTCACAATTAGGGTATATCCAGATCAGTGGTTTTTCCCCCCTCATAATCTGCTAAAGAAAATAGATGGTGTTTAGTTTTTCTGTTTCAGATTTCCCATCTTATGAATCTCTGTTTTTAAGTGAGATGGAGATTGTCTTGCTTATTAAAAGTCTTGTGACAAAGCGAGGCGCAGTATGATTGATGTACTCCTTGCTTCTGTCCACTAATTGAATCACTTTTAGGATTTTACTGCTATTCATTACACCTGGCGACATTTTGTCATGGTGCGGGGGGGGGGGCACACACCAGAGGAATAGTCCCCCACCCTTCCTCTTCAGATTAGCCTGACTTTGAGGACAGATGGTCTTCACTTAAGTGTCACAGACTTGCTAGGTCTTTGCATTGACAGAGTGACACCTTGATCAATTCCTGTCTTAATTTCACTGTCAACTAAATTAATGAATGCTGCCCACAGGTATTGACTGGGCATCTGTCACTTTCTATTTGGACAAAGATGGTGGCTGGACTTGTTGCTGAACTGGCAACATTGCTTGCATAATCAAGGGGCAGTTAGTAAATTCTATGGGTTCCACAGGAAATGTGGGGTGAAATGTTGGGACATGGTCTTTCTTGAAGGTGTTCTTCCCTCCTGCCCCTGTTGCTTCGCCCAGTGATTTTAAGTGTACCCACTGACATGCCAACAAGAACTACAGTCGGAGTAGGACAGGGAAATTCAAAGTGTCTGAAGCCCTGTTGACAATATTGGTAATATCTTATTTGTAGCAGGACACAATGCTGTAGTAGCACGGGCCCTAAGAAGGTTAAAGCACTGGCATTTTTTGAGTAGCAGGACAATGTCAGCTGCCACCCACCTATTCCCAGAATTCCTTTCTTCTTCTAGGTTTAACTGCAATCCTCACAGTAAGTAGAGACAAATGAATTTCCCCAGAAACACTATATTGTTCCATGTGTAATGCAAAGCATTTGGGGAATAGGACATGGTGAACAATTAATTGAGTGGACAATTAAGACCCATTAGGTTTTGGAAAAGACCTTCTAGTGAAGAATAAGCACTGGAACTGGCCCATACACGAAAAAAATTGCACAAAGATGCATAAACTAATTGACATGTGCAAATGTGTAATGCATAACTGGAAATAATTATCATTATTATATGGCCTCTTAGCCTCTTGCTTGCAATCAGGACATAGCTGGGCACTCCATGTGTTCATGCTTTGATTTGGTTTTTAGGTCCCAAACTCATATGGGGCAGATGTGGGGCCCAGACCAGTAAAGTACCTTAAATGCTGACAGATTAATTGCAAAATGAACATGGCACACACGCTAGTGAGGGAAAGTGTGGGAATGTATGTAGGCCACTCAGAACCAGTGCTCTTAGGTTCTTACACAATTACTAGGGAGTGACTTCCATTAAACATAGCAGCATTTACTTCTGAGTAAATATTCACTCACTATTCAAATTCCTCCTCGATCACCAACAAGCACTACAGCATTAGGCAGAGATCTCAGGATGGGAGGACCTCATGTTGCTGCTCCTGGTCCTGAGTCAAGCTTTAGAAATCAGAGAGCTTCTGCCAAGATGGCCCCTTGTTTTCTTTCAAATACTGTAGTTTGGCAAGCTCTGGGATTCTAGAACACTTTTTAAAAACAGTTCTTCAGTTCTGAATTCTGGAAATCCTAAAATATATACCAGATGTTGCAATCTTAAGTTTCAGTCAAATTTTAAGATACCAAATGCATGGTTGGATACCTTCCCAAAATACCTAAAAATGGTATTGCCCACCTGCAGATTTGGAGTTTTTATTTCTCATGGATCAGCATTGCTACCTTTGTTTCTGGTTGTTTGTTTGTTTTTTAATTACTGAAGTGATCCATTCCCAGGTTTCTCTCTAGGTATGGATATTGAAACTAGAGCTTCAGGGAGATACAGCAAATTGTAGCTGTTTGCACATTTACTAAGAAGTAAGAATCCCATCCTACTTATACTTAACTGGAATGAATCCAAAGTGTGCCTTACATCAGAGTGAACAAGTTTAGGATTACACAGTAAGTAATCCTGAACATGTTTCCTCATCCACAGATCTCTCTGTACCTCCCAGTTGTTTCTTTACCTCACACAACTTCATGTAGGTACCTCTGCTTGGCTCTACCAGTCAAGGTGCATAACAGTACTCAAGATGTTTAAACCCCGATGCAGAAAATTCAACAAGCACCTCCCTGAAAGTAGAATTATAGTTACTGAATAGTTTGCTGCTTTTTCATGACTTCCTGTATCATCTGTCAGAGGGAGCTGCTCCAGGGTCGGTCGGTCGGTCGGTCGGTCGGTCGGTCGGTCGGTCGATCGATCGATCGATCTATCTATCTATCTATCTATCTATCTATCTATCTATCTATCTATCTATATCTTTTATATACTATCCACTACAAGCATTTTGGGATGATTTACAAGGGGGGGGGGGAGAGAGAGAGAGAGAGAGAGAGAGAGAGAGAGAGAGAGAGAGAGAGAATCTTTGCCTTTAAGGAGCCTGTCTCCAAAGGACATCCGTATTTGTAAAATGGGATGTATGAACACGGCAGGGGAGGACATTAGTTTTAACAAAATGAAAGATTCAAATGGAGAGATTCAAGGAAGGCAGCAAGAGAAGTGCATGTGAGCAAGCCAACAACACCTAATCCAGGGGTTCACATGCAACAGAGATCTTTGTGTTCCTTCAGCAAGTGCCATTTTTCTCCAGTTCCATGAAAAGTAACTTTTTTCAAAATAGCTTTCTGTGTACTCCTGCCCATGGAAGCCTATTGTGCCACAGTACATTTGTGAGTCTTTAAAGAGGGAAAAAGTATTGTAGCTTTTAAATATCAATGAGCAAGAAGACCCTATCCTTCCCTCGCAACTGTTCACCTTTCTCCAGCCTAATGAGTACAAACCCCTGATGCCAAGGAGCACCATGTACCCAGAATGTGGTGGGTGGTCTGTGCGAAAGGTGGGTGCACTCCAGAACAAAGAGTGTAGAGCCAAGGAGCTCTGGGCATCCTCCAGCAAGCCAGGGCAAGCTGCACACTCTCACATTGCTTTGCTCCAGATTTAGACATTGTTGCTCAGTCAAACTCTTTTTGCAAGCAAGCCCGCTTCTATTCTGCCCCAGGGGGAGAGGCCAACTTGGAGGAAGCAAGAGATGAGGAAGGCTTCTGGCACATCAGTGTGCCTGCCCTTCCTCTTCACAGGACATCATCACCGACAGTGGCCAAAAGCACCAGTGCAGTTGCCCAGCCACAATGGTGTGGGCAAGTCTCTGCAGTGAGGCATAATCATGGAAAGCTGGATGATGGTGGAGCTACAGGTAATTTTGGATTCTGGACTTAAATGGGTAAACTGTGGAAGGAAAGGTGGCAGTCGCCATTCTAGTTTGAAAGACTGGTGCATCCGTGCTACAATTCCCATGAGTCTGCTCAGGGGGAGACTCTTAGGGTCTCCTAGCAACTGCTAGGCTAGGAGTTTGGAGGAAAGAAGCAGGCTGTAAGGCTCCAGGGCCAATCCCATGCCAATGGGACCTTTTCTTATATTACTCCTGTTCATGTTATGGAACATGGGGACTGTTATAATGAGTGCTGTGCACTTCAAATTTTACCACTTGCAACAAGCATTCATGACTTTCAGTGATCCTAATGTAATGCTATAATTTCAGAGTAAATAGGGATTGATATGAACAGTTGTTAAAGTAGAGAATACACTTTTGCTTAAAAAACCCCCAAAATGAATAACACCTCAATTAAAATAATTACTCCGGGATAATTGTCTCAAAGGAAATGTACATATTGCTGCTTCAAGCAAGTGAAGTGGAAAGAGTGATCATATGTATGGTATTCCAGTGTTCTGTCTCACATCTGGCTAGAAGTCCTCTGGATTGGCCTTTTCCTGAATTTTGTGTTTCACTTTTGGCCATTTGCTGACAAAGTTTTGAAATACGCAATGCCTTACTGCAGGTGAATCCAATTTCACCGTCGGATAGACTATGCAGGCTTGTTGAACATTTTGGGGTATGCTTCGGGTCCCTGATCTTGAGGAAATAATGTATAAACATTCCATTTTTTCGAGTAATTGGATATGAAGCAGATGTTTGTAGCTCAGTGATGTACCCTAGTAATTTGGATAGGCTGAAAAGAGAACGAGTCTGCCCCACGAACCGTTCTTTGCATAATTTTTCCTTGCATTTGTACAGGGCCACAGCACTGTTTTTGGCCATTGAAGTATTAAAATTCTTCACAGAAGTTGGATTCATCTTCTTAATCCCAAAGATATTGCTTCCTCATTGTACAGTGAAACTTGGCATAATTAGATTTCTTTCATATTGACTATTAGAGCTAGAATTACATTTGCCTCTTTAAAAAGTAATTGCATCATTATTATATCTGTTCCAGAGGCAAACTAGTG